AAGATGAAACCTGATTGGTCACTATGGACAATATTTCTCTCCATGTTCTAATTTTTTTTATGATGAAAGGATCCCAAGCAACTTAAGCAATAATGGGGGGAATTCATAATAACTGGAGCAGACAGAATCTGGAGCTGTTGTCCATAGCAACCAATCAGCTTCTCTATTTCATTTTCAAAGCTTAACTGAACAAACTGAAAAGAGAAGCTGATTGGTCACTATGGGCAACTGCTCCAGATTCTGTGAATTCCCTCAATGTCTTTAGTGCTGGTGCCTTAACTATAGTTAGCGATATGCAAAATATATGAAAATGTATATGGGAAATATACATGAAATGCCGATGTGTCCTCTGGATCTTTAGCTCTAGTAACACATTCCACCTAAAGAACACATTTTCTATAATATGTAGTTAAACAACATTAAAATACTTAGATATGTTTAATGCAGGAAACCCCCTCTACAATTATCCTGTAAGGCAAAGGTAAGCAAACTTGATAAAGAAACATTTATAGCACAACAGATTAATGTCTCACAGCAATACTTCTCGTGTAGTTATCTGTAAACATTTACTATGTAATATGTGAAAAATATAACATGTATTATGATTGTTTTTGCCGCAGAAGTGCTAAATCTGTAGGGTGTGTAATCATGACCTGTCTCCTCCAAGGGGTGACAGGTCGTATTAAAATTAAACTTTAGGAAAAAATATATACATATATGTATTAATTTGTGTGTGTGGCCAGAGGAAAGATTTAATACCGAAATATGTAATGATTTTTATTTTTACTTAATTAAGTAGAATCACTCACATATCCTATTTTTTGGCACTTTGTATGTCTGACATTTAATCACATCTGCTCCAGAAAATGGTACAGTCTTCAATGCAGGTGCTACATTCTTGTACAAATATTGCCTAAAATCCTACTAAAGATTATTTAACATGTGACTATACTAATTTACTCTATAACAATAAAATATGCTTAAACTTTTGGAAATAGAATGAGTGTTTAAGAATTAAAAACGTTTTAATGGAATTTTTATATGTGAACTGTACAATAGGAAATGTTTTTATTCTCTAGTGCAAAGTTCAAATCTTACATGTACAAAATATGATTCACACATGCTGACTTGAAACCCCAGAAGATGGCAGCATGGAACTGGATGACAGGCGATGCAGAGATGAATCAGATATGGGTCTCCATCCTGCTGGCAGAGCTGCTGCACTTCAAGGATTAGTCTAATCAAAACAACTGCTGGCCAGCGTAAAGCTGGGCAAATGCCATTCGCACATCATTGTGCCACTAGATGGAAGCGTGGAGCATAGGAATAATGCTTCTCAACTCCATCTAGTGATAATGCTGTGCGAACGGCATTTGTCCAACTTTACACTGGCCAGAACATTATTCTTCAGCTCCTGAGTGACATAAAATAATATAAAAAAATATGCATGCCCTTCATTTTTACATTCAAGCCTGGAAGGATGGCTGGACTGTACACTGCATTAAATCACCTCACACAGCATCCAGTTATCCTCTCTCGATTAGATGCAGGAATATGGAAAGCTCTAACCTGAGGGAGGATGGTTGGATGCTGCATGACCTGATTTAATGCAGTTTGAACTCCGCCTGAGCTCTGCAGTTGTGATTGAGTGATCACAATTGCAATGCTCTCCAGGCTTGAATGCAAGAATTAGAGGAGAACTTAGCCTTTAAAATCTCACAAAACAAAAGTGTACATTTTGTTAGGGTATGTTGTGGATGAACAAGAGGAGCATTTTAACATAATAGCTACATGTAGAACTTTCTGTGGTACCTATCAGGCCAGTCAGTTTGTCACTTCATTTTCCTAGATAACAGAGGTAATGCCACAGACACTTTTTGAAAATTATGCAATCTAGTGTTATTTTGGTTTTGTCATTACTGTCATTACTGCAGTTTTCCTAGGAAAGTGAACAGTTTTGTCCTCATACAAATTTGACATCACAAGTCTTGGCCTCATACAAGTCATACAAATTAAACTCTAAGCAGAAAAAAAAAAAAATGCATGTATAATACTAGCAAAACCATAACAGCAGTTTTTGTTTTTACGAATTCTCTCTGTAACATAGTTTTTGTAAATAACGTAAATGTACATTTATGTTATTTACAATTTAGACTGGAGTGCCTCAAGATTTTGCATACTTTAAAGGGTGCCGTCACTGAAAAAAAGGTTGAGAAACACTGTTCTAGTTTGCAACCAATAATAAGATTTAACAGCACAGTACAGACAGGGATAATTGTATTAAAGATTAACTCCTCACCCCCCTTGCATTGCAGAGAGAAATACAGTTTAGAGAAAAAGTTTATTTCAGGAAAGTGCAAGGAAAATGTAAGCAGCAAGTTCTAAATATTTTCTGCTATATAAGTTAACCTAAATAAGTTATGCTAGGTGAATAGGAGCATGTAACAAATATAGAATAGGTGTTATCCAAATGTGACTGTAAAAGTTGAAATACATTTTTAGGATGATCTATGAATGTTCTGGCCAGAATATAGCTGGGAAGATGCTGTTCGCGCAGCCCTAGCGCCACTAGATGGCGCTGAGGAGTATAAGAAGTTCCAATGCTCCTCAGCATCGTCTATGGGCGCTAGTGCCATGAGAACAGGCATCTGCCCAGCTATACGTTAAGCGTAACATTTATAAATCAGCCCATTTAAGTAAGTGACAAACAAATTAACATCCAACTCCAACTAACACCTTTCAAGCATTTACAGAAATTCATAAATTATTTAAACCATATGAATAAAAGCTGACTGTTCCCCTCTGGTTTGATCTAACCCCTTTAAGTGCTATGTTAGCTGGACAGCTTGACCTGTTATGTCAAGCTGTTATAGGATGTTGAAAAAATACTTTTATTTTATTTTGCCCATGGTTCCACTTCAAATTAAGTTTCGAATCCAGGAGCCCTAAGGAACGTATTTGTTAGAGTATATACTCAAGAATTTAAACACTCTTCAAATAATAAATCATATATATTAAAGTAAGTATTTAATCATTTAAAACATGCTGTGTTGTCTAGATAATATTCACACAACATCAGGCTTGTTCAGCAGAGTACAGTAAGTCAGGCAGAGTACAGTAAGTCATAACAACCAATCAGAAATCATCTTTCACTGATGTGACTAAATTGAAGTCTTATCAGTTTCTAGAGGTAACTGCACTTCTTCAAATCATCACTGTACTTTGCACATTCTTGAATCAGTTTGATTATGGAGTTTCTAGCTAGTGTCTGTAAACGGTATACATGTATCGCTCCAGAATCAGACTTATTTCAGAATAACTCCAGAATCAGACTTATTCAATTAATTGAAGTAAACCTTTAATAATGTTACATATATAAAGGGGCATTTGGAAACACTTGCTGTTGCAAAGGGTTACATAACAAAATAAGACTGCTTTTACAAGAATCAGACTTATGTAAGAATCTGAATATTCAGTTGGACACTTAATTGGGCACACTTACGTCTAAAAAATGTTTTATATTAGCCCTATTTTTACCTTGTTGTTCATTTTGTCTGACAGTTCACCTCAAATCTGACAGTTTCTGCTCGGTCAGCGCCCTCAAACAATGCACTAACAGGAGCTGGGTAACAGTATGTCACTTTAGGAGATCCCTGATCTTCTGATACAAGTAAAGTGGGGGCAAAGTTACATTTTATACTCACCTTTCCTCCGGCTTCCATGGTGGAGGGGGTTACGTCATCATCCTGTTGACGGGATCCCAAGGAAGTTGAGTACTCCAAATCTTGTAAGAAGATGCTGCAGCACAGTGCTGGGAGCATCAACTCATAGAACTACTCAACATTTCCCAGATTTTGCCAGAAAGAGGATGACATCATCCCGCCTAGGTGTGCCATGGATGGAAGCTGGTGGAAAGTTGAGTGTATTATCTAATATTATCATCCTACAGGTGTTTTTTTTAAAACTTTTTATCAATGTTTAGACAAGAAGGGGGCACATTTAAAAAAAAAATTGTAGAAATATCACCAGCACACCAGTCCTTTAAAGATAGCAAAAGCTTCATTTATTGAAGTTTTTTGTCATATGACCAAACAAGCGCTTTCGGGACCGCACAGGGTCCCTTCATCAGGCTTTAGCATTGACCGTTTATTGTTTATTGGAATGTTATGTCACAAAAACTAGTGCTTTCGGGGGCCATGCAGGGTCCCCTTCATCAGGCTCAGCAATGTCATTGCTGAGTCTGATAAAGGGACCCTGTGCGGTCCCAAAAGCGCTTGTTTGGTCATATGACAAAAAACTTCAATAAATTAAGCTTTTGCTATCTTAAAAGGACTGGTGTGCTGGTGACATTTCTACAATTTTGCTGACATTCGCGGCGCCATCTGCAGCCACTCCGAGCACCCCCCACTACAAGGGACATATCGGTAAGGAGTGCGACAAGGATAGTACTTAACATTTAAAAAAAGACCCTTGCATTTTAGGTGCCACTTTAAAGCTGAAAATTCAGATTATTACCTAAGCCCGATCATGATTCGTTCTCCTTACATTATGTTTTATGTTTATTGGTTGAGGGTAGGTATAGATTTAGCTTTAAACATTCCTGCACTTATTTCAGTTGTGTTCAGGCAAACACATGACATGAATAAAAAACCTAATCATTACATCATTGTAGCTGTAGTCACATTCCAAAGTGTCACCTATCAAATGGAAGTGAACCTGAGGCCCTGTGTGTTTCAACAGGACAAATAGCACTGAAGTACTGCCATTATTTTTATAAACTGTGAATAATTGGAATGGAAGGGAAATGGGAAGGCTGTATATCTGTAACCGAGAAAGTGATGCTTTTTGCCAGCACCATAAAAGCATAAAGTTATCTTTTCTAGTTTGTCAAATAATATCACAGCTGCACAGAGAGCACACAGGAAAAAACTTCCACTGCATGCACACTGTTCAATGCAATAAGGAACACTTTGATTGTGCATCTCCTTCCTGTTGTTAGGCTAGGCTAAGAGTCTACTTTAGGAAAAATACAAACTTTATTGTTCCTGCTTAATTTACGCTCAGTTTTACATTTGGGCTGCTTTGTTTGGATAAGTTCCTCAGGGGTATTTCCAAGAGGTGGTAAGAGGCGCTTTTTGCTGTTCCGTTTATCAGACAGCCATTGTGGGGGCAATTCGAAAGGTCCAAACCCAAACTGCATGGAATACTTGTCATTAAGCATTTCCGCTTCTCCTGGCATCACAGGGGCCACTTGTGCTGCAGATTCAGCAGCCTGTGGGATTAGCTTTTGAACTAGAGTATGCTCCACCTCTCTGCTGCCACTGGGCATCGTTTCCTTCAGCTTGTAGCTTCTGGAAGCCTCTGACTTGATCTCATTTTCCTCATCTTCTTCCACAGACCTGAATATCTGTTGTTGTCCAATATGAAACATCTCTAGAAGTTGGCTCCCTGAGCGTACACTTGGCTCCAAATTTACCTCTGCCACTGATCCCAGATTCACCACATTTCTCCTGCTGTACCGCCGATGGAGTTGAACTATGGTGCCCACCACACATTTACGAACAGATTTGTTGACAGTCAAGAAGAGTAAGGGGTTTGTGACAAGCGAAACCTTAGGCAACCAGGTGGCAGTGAGTACTAGAACGTCTGAGATATGAGAAACATTGAGCACAGTGCGATAAACAACCAGTGTCACATATGGAACACTGCAGAGGATGAAAATCAGGACCATGGACAGCAGCATTGAATGCAGTTCAGCCTCCTTTTGCGAAACATAGGGAATAGATATAGAATTCTGCGGTGTCCTCAGGGCTGCTATGATCACCTTCTTCTTTTGGCTGGCACTTAGTGCTCTGCGGATGAGTAGCATAAACAGGAAAACCACAGCAACTGGTACTAGAACAGTGGTGACATTGTACACCAGGACATATATCAAGTGACCCAGAGAGTAGCCCCATGACTGGGAGCAGGTGGACATGGCATAGATGTCAGTCACATTAGTCACAGCGAAAACAGGTACACTGGCAACAACTGCATGCGTCCAAATGTAGATCAACAAGTCTCTAGCCTTGGCATCTGATATCTTCCTCTCTAGAGGGTACAACACAGAGTAATACCTGTGGTAACATAAATATGGCATATATTAAAAAACCAGAGTAGTCTGACAATATAAAAAAAAGAGAAAGATTAATAGTACAAATGCTGTCCTGCTGAAAGAGTAAATTTTTTGTTAACAAAATAGAGCTGAATGCATACTTAATACATGTATTGAGAGCCTAGCTAAAAGAAAATTATATTCCATGTATTCAAATATAGGGATGTGCTCAGGTTCATACCAAACCCAGTCTGCACCTGAGTTCCTCTGGAATCAGAAGCTACATGGGGCCACCTGTCCAATCAGCTGTGGGCTGGGGCATTCCTCACCCTGCAGCTGCTCATAAACAAAGGGGGGGGGGGGCTTGTGCTGATATCATTGACCTTATATGGTCAGTTTTTATCTCCCAGCTTGGTCAATCCTGTCATGGAAGCTCCCTGAGGAAAACATGTCAACTTTCTGTTGCCATGGGTGACTATTGTATGCATATGAATAAAGATGAGTATTACTTTTAATTAAGCAGCATCTTTTGTGTGTTTCATGTGACCCTTTCTGACACTTGTGGTTCACTAGTCCGCACGTATTACAAATAGCCACTACTTCATTTGCAATTTCCTGACTTTATCACCACCATGCTCATTCAGTAAAAGAGAAACACAAAAAACCCTAAAGGCACCAATCGGATTTCAGTTTTCTGAGGTGCAATCAATAATAATAAGGTATGGCTTACTTTATGAATGATTGCTCTGGTTTTGAAGTAAGTGGCACATCATTGCTGCTCTTTACACCTCTCTGTAAAATAAGCCTGCACCCTTATTTAAAGCCCAACTTATTGCGCCTCCCCTGGATGCCTTCCAGCAGGTCATGTGACGTGGAAATTCCTTTTACACATCTTGTCTGGTGCTGGGCGGTACTCATTGATTTAGACTGTGTCAGTGATGTGATGTCTGAGTGGTTCTCTGTATCATTGTGCTGTGACAGTCCACTTTGCAGTATTCACATGGCTCTGCACACATTTGCTGCTAGCCATGGGTAATTTATATAATATATGTGTATATATATGTATGTATATATATAT